TATATATGATGTGTTGGTGAGGGATACTTGGGAAAATAAGAGATTTGACTATAATGGAAAATTTGGTTCCTATACAAGTAATTCTGTATAAATGCCTAAAAAGTACATTTAAAGACCCTCTGAGCCACTTTTTCCTTTGAGAAATAGCTGCATTTATTTTAAATAACAAATTTTCATATATAGCCAATGTACTGTGCTCTGTTTACACAGTGCAGGAATGTGCGTATGTCAGCACAGTGTCTTTTTCTCACTACTAAAGGCTTAGGTGTAATTAAAAGCATGTGTAGGAAGGACTCTCCAAACAGTCGGTGTGGAGTGATGTTTGTGTTAATGAGCAGATTCCCTGACTGCATGCTCCTAAATGTAGAAACAATTATCACAGGGAAACTCCCAGAGTCGAGAGTAATCGAGTGTGACTGTTTTGTGCTTAATGATCCCTACGTGTTGTTCCCCAGGCCTGTCTCACGAGCAAAACATGGCCAAGATGCGTCTGTTGACATTCATGGGCATGGCGGTGGAATTCAAGGAGATCTCCTTTGACACCATGCAACAGGAGCTGCAGATCGGCGCGGATGATGTCGAGGCTTTTGTCATTGACGGTACAAGAACTTCACCTCAAATAAGTCTTTGCTGTCCACTGTGATTAAGCATGGTGTTTGTCTTAGCAACAAACAGTTAAAGAGAAAGAAGAATGACCGAACAACAGCCACATCATTCATCACTCCTTATGTTTGGATGTAATTAATTTGCTGCTGTCTGGTGCCAAAAATTCTCCCTCCTTAATAAAGACCAATACAGTGGTGATTGTATGATTTTACAAATTAAAGTGGAAAGTGTTTGAACAGATGTTTAGTAACTGGGATTAGCTTCCTCTTCAGTTCTCTCCTAAAGTATCCTTGGGGCAATGGAACCTTTCTTGATTTCCATCAGTACCTTTAGCTTCATTTAAATTATCTTCCCATCTGGTTTTTCTGTTTAGCTGTTCGGACAAAGATGGTGTACTGCAAAATCGACCAGACGCAGCGAAAAGTTGTTGTCAGGTAAGACCCTCCTATAAAGGACAAGGCCAGTCATTTTATATATTAACAGCATTTTAAACACTACTTACGATTAATATGTCAGTCTGTCAGAACTGGATTAGCTGAATCGTCTGTGTCATAGACCTCCATTGGTGAAACAAACTGCCTGACATGTTTCCTCACTGCAAAACACCAGACCCTGTTATTTATTTATTTATTTATTTTTATGGCGCCTCAAAGGCTCCAAAGAGCCGTAACTTTTTACAGCATCTGAAGTAAGAGTCAACGGCTCATGCACAAGATGTTTGGATATTCTTAACAACTATTAGGGGTTTTGTAATGAGAAATGTGTTTGATGTGTTTTTAATAAAGAATATGAAGTCGCACTGTTGAATTTTGGGTGAATGCTCCATTTTGGTGGGATCACACTCATTATCCATCATACACTACATGTATATCTATAAGTTAATTTGAAAAATGTGTGTGTGTGTGTGTGTGTGTGTGTGGGTGTGTGTGTGTGGGTGTGGTGTGTGTGTGTGTGTATATACACACACACACCGTTCCATGCAGTAGTGGATGCTTCAACTACACCCAAACTTTAGTGTTCGGTTTGAGCACAGACAGGACAGAAGTTGATTCATCTACATCTGACATTCAACATGGCATGACGTACCGTCACAGGTTTCTTTGTTATTATTGACATCAATGGAGGTCTGTGGCACAGATGAGTAAACAAATCCAAGACTGACGAGTATTAATCATGAGTAGAGGCAAATTAGTGTTAGTTTTAGTCTCTGTATTAGGACTGTTTCAAATACTGTTAATATAGAAAATGACTGGCCTTATCCATTAAACCATCATATATGACTTGGTGGTATTGCATTGTTTAGTACTGTATATGGAAGCATATACAGAATAGGTACAAATCCAGATTTAAAGTACTTTACATGGACTTTTAACTGTTCCAGTGCTATTGGTGTCACTACCACCGCGGCTGTAGTGTTGATAAGGGTGCCCTTTGACACAGTTCTTATCACTACACTGTATCATTTGCAGTGCTTGTGACTGATGAGTTGTTTTTTTTTAAGGTTGTTTTGTAGCTGGGGTTGGCTTTCCTGGTGTTTAACAGTGGACATTAAGTGAAACTTAACTAAGAGAGCTGAAATTCTGTTGATGTACCAACTTCAGGTTCACATTCACCTGAGAGGCTGCAAGAGTTAATTCATTAATTAGCACGTGGAATCATGTTTATTCCTGGATCTGGATGCCATGAGCTTATTTGCCTCTGGTCTTCAGAAAAATGTTATGTGTAGACACTAGCAAATGTATTACTGTACAAGGAAATATTTTGTTCTTTTTAACTCCCATGATTCTGCTCCCACATGCCTGGTGGTCTCTTGGTCCTCTCCTGCAATGGGAGTCATGACCTTGGCCTGCATAATTTTTGTCGATTTAACATTCCTACTTTTCTGTTTCCACTCAATCAGCCACAGCACACACCGCACCTTTGGCAAGCAGCAGTGGCAGCAGCTGTATGACAGCCTCAGCTCCTGGAAGGCCAACTTAACAACCGTCAAGACCAGTCTGCAAGCCCTGTCACCTTCTGCTTAATTCCACTTTAACCCAACTGTCTAGACTACCCGACCCGCTATTCTTCCTGATTTCCAAATTCCCAGACTGAACTGATCAGTTTTTATATTCATCCAATAAAACATCAGTGTAGGTCATGTGTTTGCTTTTTCCTTGTTGAATCAACACAACAAGCTGCAGTGACTGACAGTTTCAGGTTTTGTAGCAGAAAGCTTTATTGTGCCATTAGTTGATAATTAAAATACTGTATAATTGGTTATTTCAGGCAACTGCCCCACTATTGTCTTATCATCTTGTTGGAAAGCCATACAGTAATCTTAATGGGGGCTCATAATCCAGCAGCTCTCAACATCTGGATTTAGTTAGAGGACAGCGTGCCGGTATGAGATGAGCTGTGTCTTTGGGTGAGAAATGTCCTGCAACAAGAAAGTTGTCTGGGAACACATGAGAGGTGACAATAGTAATGTGAACTTGAGATGACCCTGTCTCCTGGGGTTACAATTGTGTTACTGTAGCATCAACACTTAACATCTTGTAGTGTAGACTGATTCACTGCCTAGACCTCAGCTAATTGGAAACTGTATCTGAGGCTGTCAGCATGACTCACTATCTCTTACTGTGCTGGAAGAGTGGAAAAACAAGGACTTTTAAAATCCAGTTTTAGTTCGCCTTGTCTTTGGCTGTTGATGGAACGTAAAGTAAAATTTATCTCTCGCAGAAATCTCTATTCAGGCACCGGTCCAGAACATAAGGATGTGAACTCTAACGATGCATGGCCCGGGCATTAGGTGTAAAAAGGGGTCTTTCAGAGTTCTCTCCCTCTGGGGCTGTGATGACATCAGCACAAACTGACAAAGTGCAGACTACTGACATTGCACTCTTTGAATCCCCACCCCCAACTCTAATCCACTGTGCACCCATTTTCTTTCACCAATAAAGCTACAGCTCAACCCGTTTACTCTTTCCTCATTCTGTATTGGATAACTTAATTATCTGAACACTGCTGCCCTGCCCCATAAAATATTTTTACTCAGATTGAACAGATGTTCGAGCTATACATTTATTGCTGCAGTGTTCTTTTTACAATCATACCAGTGGTCTGCTGAGGCTCAATGCTCACTTCTGTCTAGTCGTCCACAGGGAGCAGCATCTCCAGCTCTATCAGAGGATGTAAATCACAAAACACATTCTCAGGAGCATAACCTCATCACAGCCACCTGCAAGGTGGAGCACAGAGCTGATAGAAGCTAATGTGACCATGGCTTAACTGAATGTTTGCAAAGTCTTATATTTTGGTTTCTATCTCTCAGCGTCTTCTTTTCTCTCTAAACATTTGCTTTTTGGCTACTTTTGCAGCTCTGGGCAATGATCCTGATCGCTTTTTAATTTGTCTCGCTGCTGTTTTGTACATGGTCAGTCAGTTTGAGTTGTCCCAGATGTAAATACTGTGCTGAGGCTGGTTTATCTGGTGAAAATGTCACAACCCTTTATCACAGCTAGATAGTCCTACATTGTATGAAGAGCAAATGACTTGATTGTTTTGGAAGCTGAACTGCTGAGTATTGGCAGAAAGTAACTAAGTGTTCAGTATTTAGAATTCTGAGCTACTTGTACTCTAATTGTGTGTTTACATTTTCCTCCACAACATTTAAGAAGGAACCAGTGAACTTTTTTAAGTCCATTTATTTTACAGCTATAGTTAAGTTATTTTTTTAGATAAGGATTTCACATTTAAAAAATATAGCGTATGATGCACCTATAAATGCATCATAGAAAATATAACCAGTAGTTTCCAGTGTGTAGTTGTGGCCCCCGTCAAAGATGTCTGTGAGTTGTTTGCTGTTCCACCTAAAGACAGACACCTCATCTAACCTTCTCAGAGGGTTATTGAATATTTCACCAAGAAAAGATCAATCAACTTAAACTGACTAATCTGATTAAACTGCTCTTTTTATGACTCTTTAGAAGGGCTGCCCCCTCAGGTGGAACTAGACTGGACTTAACTGTCTATAGAAAGTAGATGCACCTCAAACAGCCATAACAGTAGAATGCTATTTGCATGTTGATGCATTTGTATTAACAAAGGTTCAGTAAGACACTCAAATTTCTTTCACTTTTGACACTTTAACTATAACTTATTAATGAAACATATGGACTTTTAAGTTTTAACCTAAAAGTTACTTGTAAAAAAACATTTTTTACACTGTGGTATTACTATTGTTATATAAGTAAAAGGCATTTCCACTGGTAACTGTATTTGAGCACAAACTTAACTTAGCTCATATGAATTCCCCAGCAGTGAGACAATTTTAATCATTATAACTTGAATATCACTGTATGTGGTGTAAGGTGGCAAATATCATCTGACATCATACAGTAGATAAAGTCTGGAATTTTTCATTTTCTTCACCCCCTTCCTTCGTATCAGTCTGACAGTGTCCAGATATATGGCCAAGCACAAGAGAGGAGCCCTCACTGCCCTTCAATTAGCACCATCCAGTAGCCAGCGAGATAATGCTGAATTGCATCCTATCTTTGCTTTGCATTAACACTGACCAAGAGGCCCAAAGGCTCTGAGACAGATATGCCTATTTACATGTAGAGTGCGAAACATAAACACTGTTACAAAGGAAGGCTTGCTAAGCAGAACTGGAAACTTCACAGTGTCGGTGCTGTTTGTGATGCCTGTAGGTTGAAAAGGCTAATGTGTGTTTTATCACAGATGCCACTTCTTTGTCAAAATGTCACTGAAGCCCATTACAAAGCCTTTTTCCAAACAAGGCCTGTGTATAGTGCTGAGAAATCTTGTGAGACAAGGTTTAGTGCTTTTAAGAGCCCTGTGCAAAGATCCCCAAAGATAGCATTTTGTTACAGCAGTAATTTGTGTCCACCGTTACAAGTGAAGATACAGTATAACAGTGCAAACATGAAAAAGACTGACACTGAAGCATCTCAGATGTCTAGGCAAAATTATGGTATTTATACATTTAAAGGGCCATTCAAGTAAGATAACCCCATAAAGCCAGGTGGCAAGATCAACCAAAGATTACATAACAAAATTTAGTTAAGCCCTGAAAGCATGATGTCACTGGAAAAACATAAAAATGTGTCACCTACATTAAATCAAGCTAGAGACCTATTAGCTCTACGATAAAAAGCTAGAGTTAAGATCTTTGTGTTTAGTGCCATATAAGCATTATAGCATTAAGCATAACTTGTTAAAAGCTATTAGTAGTAAAAGTATTCACACTTTTGTAGGGCAACTTATATTTATTCTACATTTTAGAAAATTGAGTTGCTGCTCCTTTTCACACTTTTTATTGTGACAAATAGCTTTTAAAATATTAATCAACTGAAAGTCATTAACTGCTGTTCAAGTATGATCAAGAGTCACAACTAAAAATGATGTGGCACTGGGAGGAGTATCCTACAGCTGTATCTGACTCAGACAGCTGTATCTGACTCAGACAGAAGTCCGATATGCGTTACTTACTGTACTACTTCGGTTTCACAAGACCTGCTGAAATGTACTGTACGTCCACTTCGGTGGCTTCATCTGCCATCTAGCGTCCATTTTTATTTACACAACTTGTTATCCAGGTAAAAGTGATCGATTGGTTGAGTCTGCGCAGGTAGTTCAGGAAGAGCTGAAGTCACAACTGTTGGGAGTAAACTCAACCGAAACCGTTTTGACTTAGTTGTGACGACTTCATCTTTAGTTGGCTGGATGTTGTCTATAACAATGAGAACCTTTTTTAAAAAGGAGACTATACAACACGATAGCTGTTCGTGAAAACCGCTGAAAGTTTCCCGATTTTTCTTATTGGCGTCGAGGCTGGGGCACATATCCGCCGCTTCTTTAAGTTTTATTTTGCTGGTGTAGAGCTGTCCCCATCATTATGTGCCACTTTTCATCATAGGTAAGTTAGTGTATATTAAAGAAAATTGAGCAGAGTGTAGTGTAAAGAAGCTGGGAGCGGTGTTAATGAAACTCTGTCCTCTGTCCAATCGATGCCCCACCCGTTGTGTGCGTCTTAGGTGCACACACGACCATGTTGCTCCATCTGATCATGCTCCTTCAGCTGCTGTCCAGTGGAGATCTGGCCTGCATCAGAAGGTTACGCTCCAAACATGAGGAAGACCAAGAAGGTGAGATGTTTAACTGAATAATCTCCGGTTGAATCCACTCATATACATCCAAGTGTATCTGTTTTCCTGTTAATCACTGCACCTGTTTGGGCTTGTGCTTAGTGTTTGTAGCTGCGGGGAACGCAAAGTCGTTCCTGGTTCGCCATCTGCTGTTCAACAGGTTTGACTTTGAGATGTTCGTTCCCGGAAACCTGGAAAGAGAGTGTTTTGAAGAAGTGTGCAATTATGAAGAAGCAAGGGAGGTTTTTGAAAATATCCCTGATACAGTTAAGTGATGCTGTTCAGTGATGCTGCTAACTCAGGTCAATTAAGCTTTAAGAGAGGCCTCACAGCAGACTTCATACTGATGATGTTTTGTTTTGCAGGACGATTTTTGGAAGAAGTACACTGAAGGTAAGTGAGCGACCTCAATTTGTTACATGGATCGTTTTTCATTTCAAGTATAGTAATTACCAAAGCAGTGTTTCTGCTAAGGAACATTTGTAACTTGCCTATAGCAAAGGCAGTCATGGTGCTTTAAGAACCTGTTTTACTATTTATTAAGCAGCTGTAAAACTTCACTATATCTAGGTCAACAACTTACAGAGTTGCCCACATGATTGTATATATTACTGTAAAGAATGAAACCACAGTCCAGCTCTGCTCTGAATTTGCCACTTCTGCCATCATCAGTCGAGCTCAACGCTGCCCTGGTTCTCTGGTTTGTGATGATCCACAGATAAGAACAAATCTCCCACGGTAGATGTGACGTCTCTTTTGGTGGGACTGATTGTTGCTGGTGTGGCCATTATTATTACTGCAGTTCTGTTCTGGTATTTCTGTCATGGTAAATGCAAGGGCAACTTCAGCCGTGCGAGGTGAGTGAGAGTGTCTTTATGAGTAATAGTGGCGTTTACATTAACCCTGCACACTGTCACATTACTATAGGACTAATACCACCGCCCATATGCACCATTTTTAAATCCTCATATAATTAATAATTTGGACATTTTCATTTTCTGACAACTGCAACTCAGACTGTTAACACAGAATATGAGGCTGCTCTTGTCCAGCATCAGTTGTTGTTACCTGTTAATGGCTGCAGCTAATAATTTATTTCTGTTATTGGTTAATCTGCATATTATTTTCTCAATTAATTCTTTAGTCTATGAAATAAAAACTTGAAAATGTCTCACAGTTTCCCAAAGTACAAGATGACAATCAGATTGCTTGATTGCCAGACAAAATCCAAAGATACTCTGTTTACTATCACACATGACCAAGAAAAGCATCGCACACATTTGAAGAGCTGGGACCAGTACATGTGGCTGCTTGAAATGTGAGATGTTGATTATCAGTGTCATTGCTGATTAATGTTCTGTCAGTTGACTAATCTGTTAATTGAATAATTGTTTTAGCTCTATATTTGTTCTAGTAATTTTTTACTGTTACTAATTTGTCATGTAGCACTGGGAGCTTTCGGTTGTGCACAGCTGTATAACAATAACTGGCTTTCACCTCATCAATACCTGGAGACCTTAAATTGATCATATGTGAGTGAAATGATACATGTCTTCACTCCTCTTACAGTTCAATTCAGGTGCGCCGGAGGAGGAGTAATGCTTCTCTAATACTGCGACGGCTAGAGGAAGTGTCTTTGCAACCTGTGCTCCCACCTGCACCCCCGCCCCCTACGGAGGAACCCCCAGGACTGCCTTCCTATGACCAGGCAATCGCAACAAGTGGTCCGCATGATGCCCCACCTCCTCCGTATCCTGGGTATTTGTATATGCATTATAACTCGCTTTTCAAGTTTCTCTTGTGTACACACAATCATGCATACAATCATAGCATATTTCTATAACATAACATTTTTTCCTTATTTTTAGCTCACGACCAGGAAGTATTCGACAGTAGTATCTTCAGGACAACTCATCTGCATATGTGTTAACATCCAGCAATTTACTGCTAACATTTACACTGCACTGCTCTGCTTAACATCTTATACAATTTTTCCTCAAACTATTAAAACAATGTCTCATGCCTTCTCTTTATTGCTCTTTTCCACACAGAGATTTTAATCATTTCTGCCCAGTTGGTGTACTTGTTCCTTTGCAATATAAACTTGTCAGTTTTTTTTCTTGACCTGCGCTTGCTGAAATGTAGTTTTGTGGTAGCCTCTGCTTTCTCAGGTGATTGTGTTCTGAATTATAACCCCTACTTTATGGTAAATAAGCTTTAGCAATACATTTTACAGTTTGCTGCTTTTAATCAAAATTATAATGAAGAATCTGTAAATGTTTTGGACACAAGAGCTTTAAGATGCTGGAATACGTAGGCTCTTAATGTGTAATATGCCTGAGTGCAACACTATGATTATGTTTCAATCCACAATGAGTATTAATTTTAATCACGGAGAGACAGACTGGTGTGTTGTCATACAGCTTTTTGTCTCCTTCAGAAGGAAAACAGTATCAGCAAAGCAGCTTTTAATGGCATGATGGTAAGATGTCATAAAGGAAATACTTCTAAGGTTAACACAAGGTGTTTTCTGATGCACCAGCTTACTTTAAGATTCATTTTGTACTTTAAATTTTATAATAAAATCTTGTTTTTATGTGCTTTTTTTGTTGCTTTATAAGGTTAAAGTGTGTCAGAAAGCATTTTATCAATCAGCTAATGAGAATTTTCTTTGAATGTGTGTTTTTTTTTTTCTGTCAACATCTGCGTTGTGTTTAATCATTCAGTGTAATATAAATGCATGGAGGCAGAAGCTCCAGAAAAATACAGGCGTTTATAAGTTATTGTGTAAATTATCAATACCAATGTTTCATCATATGAGAATATATTGAGGCTGCTTTGTTGAAGCTGATCAGACACACACTACTTGAAATGAAAATCTTTTATAGATGTATAAAATAAACAATGTTTTAATTATTTTATGCCTCGTGTGTTCATGTGTGACTGCAGGTCGACAAGATCTGATGACTCATTTTGAAGTTGACAGATAATAATGGATTTGAGAGTTTTGTCAGTTATGAAGACTTGTGTTCTTTAAATGTGAAGGACCTACGTGAAGTGGAAAATTGCAGTGAATGCCATTTCCAAATTATTAACATTTGTCCATGACAAAAATTAAATTATTAAAAAGGTCTCACAAAGTAAAGTTAGAACAAATTTGCTTAAATTATAGCACGAGATGATTTTGGTATTATTGTAATTATTTCAACATTGCACCCGAGGTTATAAAACAAATCTTTGGATCATGACATTATATAAAAGTTTAGGTATCTCCGAGATCCCAGGAATGCAGACGGGATACATACAGTGAACTTTAGACGCAAGGAAAACTACAAAACTTCCAGCCCAAAATCTGCGGTGCATCCTGGGAAATCCGCTAACATGGGGACGTGAAACATGCAGGGTTTGCACAGCTCTACATGACGGAAGATTAAAAAAAAAACAGTCGAAATCGCTCAGAGGGGCGAAAGGTGCGCGTTTAGCCGGGATAAGCAAAACACCTTCGCGGTGTTGTTTTTTTCCGCTGGGCTGCTCTGACAGGACTGGCTTCCCTCAGTCGATCGGTGGGTCGGACTTGTGCTGTTACGATGTGTGTCCACTGCTCCGCCAAGCTCCGTCGGGGAAGTGAATCTTTCACCGGATGATGGACAGCAACTACCCGAGCTCCAGCTTTGCGGACGCGCTGGCTCCACCAGCACAGACCGTAGCTTCTTGGGCCTATGACCGCAGCACAGCTAGTATCAAGCCAAGGTAAAAGATGAAGGAGGGTTATCCTCCTTAGGAAATTTCGGCCATGGAGGGCCTAGCTTTGCTTAAGGGAGAAGTGTAGAGGTCCGTGCTGATGTCGGGAATACTGCACGAACTGGCAAATGTTGGGAATTTGATCGGAGTTCGAGTTAGTCAATGGTTTCTAATCTGTTTGTTATTGTCGTCCACCTTGCTAGTTTTCGTTAGCGCACCGCCTCCTCAGCATGGCCATGACAGTTAGTACAAACTAGAGAGGAGCCTGGTTTTATGTCTGAAGTAAGTTTACCATCTAGGTAACTTAAACTAGGATTACATTAACTGTTTTTACCTTCAGAAAGCCAAAACAACAGGTAACTAGCTACCAGTGCTAGTCATGTCACTTCAACACCAACAGCGTTACAACTAACTTGAACTAAGAGGCGACGTGTCGAACTATTTATGCCATTGTTCTAACCTACTTATAAAAGTTAGAGGTCTTGACTTTATTCACATTTTTTGTTAAAAATTCACAAAAAACAAACACCGCAAAATATGCCAAAGTAATGAAGCTCTAACTTGGGCAAACTCAAGACTTGTGCTGTAATAATGAGCCAGATAAGTCCGATTGTGTTCACAAGCAACACAAAGGTGGCTCTGGTGAAGGTTGTCATCCTTATATTTTCGTGCATGTCTGAAGGCTTCTCAGATAATTTGCACAAAACCTTCCTAAAGCATGAAGAGAAAGGCCAGAGCAGAAAAATCACAGAAATGATTGTTCAACTAATTCCTCAAATGGCAAGTAAACTATACCATAAATGTGCTGATTATAGATTCAGAAATACTAAGGTCACCTCTGTTTTTCTTATGTCATGACTTAAATACTACAGGTTTGTGGCTGTTGATTACACAAAGAAATAGTCCCTAAAAATAGCCCAGGGTATTGTCCATTATTCCAACACTCACAGAGTCTAATATCAAGTACTCCATATGTAGTGAAAATAATAAATTGTCACTTGCAGCCCTGCACATCATCTGGAATACTTCCCCGCCACCTTCACATGGTAAGGAACCTGCATATATCACTATATGTTCCTGTCCACGAGCCCTGTTTTCAGATACAAGGGAGCGAACAGTAGTGGTACAGGGGGAAATTAATCACTTTGAAATTTAAATGAAGCCCCAGGTACATTTTAGGCTCCATTCATCAGTACAGACAAGGTAATGCTGGGAGAAATTGTGTCAGTAGGACAGTGTGGAAACTAAAGCCTATATTGGACATTGTCATATGTTGCGTTAGTTTTTCTCAACTTTATAGTTAATTAGCAGGGTTGAGTTGCACAATAGCAGTGCTGGTGTCTGGTTATTGAAGGAACCAGAAAAAGATAAAGATGACTCCATTTCATCTCTTTGTTCTCAGCCCACAGATGTTTACCTTCCAGCAAGAATATTTTGGATCAGGCTGGCTGCATCTGATTAACTCTGCTTTTATTTCTGCTTCCTATGAGTTTTGTCCCAAGAGAATATAAAGTCATTTTTTCAAATAATAGAAATAGGTACCATTGGCAACTTTTCAATTTTGTATTTGTTTGTTAACAGTAGCTCAAACCATGCAAACTGAACCATTTTTAGTTTTGGGCAAAAACAACAAAGGGCCTTCTGAAAGACATCCCAAAAACATGAGCTTTATTGCTGGCTTACAAATCACATGGCTGAGAAAATCAGTATAACTGCCTTCTTCAGTGCTGGGAGGTAACACAGCAGCTCAGGTATTTCTGCCCACCCTGTGTGATCAATATAGGTGCACTAAAAGCCTCCATCTGTTGTCACAGGTCATATTTTGTACACCATTTTACTACACAGTAAAATTCCTAGAAAAATATAAAATTCACATTTTGGACATCTGCAAGGGTGGTAGTGAAAGCTACAGTTTATAAACCAGTTGAGTTGTTTTAATAGCCATGTTGACTTGAATATTTCTTAGCTATGATTGGTTAGTTGGGCTATTGACAGAAGATTAATTAACATGTCAGTTATTTCATCTGGACTCGACATGGATCATTACTAACTTACTATAGATAGATTTTACCAGAATCACTGGGCAAACTGTTTGTTTTTTTGTCACACTGATGTCATGTTTTGATAGGTAACATTCATATTTGTGACAAGTAATGACTGAGCACATGCAGGGTCTGGATCGACTTGTGTCATAAGTTGAATTTAGCGGTTTTTAAAGCATGCTTCATAGAGCTATTATTGTACTTTAGGTATGATGTGGTTCTGCTGAGTTTGTCACTCAATAGACTGTTCAGACTTAACAGAATGAGTCCCTCAGAATGTGTTTGCTGTGTAATTTTCTCAGGTCATACATAGTTGCCTATGCCGCTGCTGCTTGTGAGGGTAAGAGCTCTTGTTTATGTGTTTGTGTGTTCGTGCAGTCCCAGTTATGGTACAGCACACCTTGACACGGAGCTCCTGCAGCGGCAAAGCTACACTTCCACCCACCAGCTTCCCACCTACACTACATCGCACCTTCCTGCTGCAGCAGGTGAGTTATTGATGCTCTAAGTATTGTTTTTAAGGTGCTAGTTTATTCAAATAGCAGCATTACTCACTTTGTTACTTACTGCTGGTGGCATTGAGACATGCAGATTTTCTTTGGTTTCATATGCTGAGGCTTATGCCACAACCCAAAATGCTAAGGTGAATGGAATTCTGTTCTAAATACACTGACTATTTATATTCCAAAACTCCTCATAATGTATCTTTAATGTCCCAGTTACTTGGGATAATCCACAAACCTTGCTGTGGACAGGTTTAACTGGGACTTCAGTAGAAACTAGCTTAGCAAATAAAACCAGAACTGTGTGAGTACATGTTACTAGACATAAATGAGACCTTGAGTTTGGGTTTACCCCCTCATAGGCTGTTAACCGTATTTAATAGGGACACAGTTGTATTTACACAAGCCTTCATTCATGCCTGTTTTTGATCATCTTTGTCTCCCTCTTGTGATTGCCAGGAATACTTGATACAAGCAGTAATATGCCGGAGACTTCAATCATGAGCTTCCTGTCAGTCATGGAGTCTAGAAGCCTTCAGGCTGGTCCTGTTAGTGCCTCACTGCTTCCTCCTTTTAGACCCTCATCATGGCCTGCTGGTGAGAACAACTGTTTTAATTGAAAAGTAATTTATTATAAATATGAGTTAGGGGTACCACTGTCAGGTCTGATACCACTCTAGTACTCTTAAAAGTTGTCTAATACTATGCACCACTACCTCTTAACATCGTGACGTTAACTTCACGGTGGTTAAACAGGTTGTTAGAAATTTCAGCAGTTTGAGAATATAAAAAAAAAAAAAGTGACAACAACGAAGGTAAAGCCAACTGCCAGCTCTGTCTCTCTGCTCTGCTGTGTGTGTCTGTGAGCGCCCCTCCCTCCCCATTTCACACAGACACAAGGTGGCATTTTACATATACATCAAGTAAGACAGAGTAATTAATCAAACACCTGTTGAACAAGCAGAACACAACAGTAAACTTGCATAAATTCAGCATCTTCACTCTTGCTGCAGTCAGTTCACCTGGTCCCTGTTCACACTCTAAACCCATGCAGTGCTCGCTGATTGAAGCAAACACTGATTTTATGTAGTTAACAGCAGAGTCTGAGTTCTTGTGGAGTTGGAGGATGAGACCAGCAGCTCCTTTACAGCAGTGTATGTATGTGTCCAGCAGAGAGGACAGGACAAAGCCACAGACAGGAGCCAGTTTACAGTATGAACATGTACCCTTGTTAAATTAAACATTTAAATTGCAGACTATGACATTGTGTGCTCTCAAACTTTGAAGTTCTGGGCAGGGTCACAAAATCATTTCACTCCTTAAAAGGTTAAAAACATATAACAGTATGTTGTGTATTGGGCTGCAGAACCTCAGTTATACGTTATAATCAATAGAAATTTTGGCAGTGCAGTTTGTTTTCACAGACTCTCCACATCCTCATATTATATATTTTTTCATAATCGCAATCAGAAAGTACATCTCATGAAAATAAAAATTCTCTAAAGTTATTGCATTTTTATGGTAGCTGTCCCCGGTAGGCTAGCGGTTAAGGCGCAGCGCTTCAGCAGAGCCTGAGTTCTTGTGGAGTTGGAGGATGAGACCAGCAGCTCCTTTACAGCAGTGTATGTATGTGTCCAGCAGAGAGGACAGGACAAAGCCACAGACAGGAGCCAGTTTACAGTATGAACATGTACCCTTGTTAAATTAAACATTTAAATTGCAGACTATGACATTGTGTGCTCTCAAACTTTGAAGTTCTGGGCAGGGTCACAAAATCATTTCACTCCTTAAAAGGTTAAAAACATATAACGGTATGTTGTGTATTGGGCTGCAGAACCTCAGTTATACGTTATAATCAATAGAAATTTTGGCAGTGCAGTTTGTTTTCACAGACTCTCCACATCCTCATATTATATATTTTTTCATAATCGCAATCAGAAAGTACATCTCATGAAAATAAAAATTCTCTAAAGTTATTGCATTTTTATGGTAGCTGTCCCCGGTAGGCTAGCGGTTAAGGCGCAGCGCTCTCGCCGCTGCGGCCCAGGTTCGAATCAGGGTTGCGTCAGGAATGGCATCCGACGTAAAACAAGTGCCAAATGTCAACATGCAAGTCGTCAGTGTAACGATTCGTTGTGGCAACCCCTAAACGGGAAAAGCCAAAAGTGACTTTCTTTCATTGCACTTTTATGGTAAGTGTAATTTTTATAGTGCATGTGAAGGTATGTCACGTTGCCTGTCCTCTTCTTTTATATGGCCTGTTCTGTGCCATGCAGGTACAAACTCCACCACCACAGAGCTGTATTTGACTGGTGCCCTGCCTTCTACTGCCACTTTCCCCTCTCCTGCTGCACTGTCATCCTATCAGCACACTGGTGCCTACCCTACCAGGAGTTATGCTACCAATCCCTCCCTGGCTCTCCAGGATCCTGCCTTCAGCACTTCCACCAATGGCCTGTTTTCTCACCATGATCCCCTCCTACATCTCAAACCAAGCCAGACTGTGCTTCCCACTGCCCTGGCCTTCAATCATCTTTCTGCCCCTGCTTTGGGCTCTACTTTGCCTGTTCAGTCCTCTACTTACCGCTCAGCCCAGGAGTCAGCCCCCCACCTCCTGCAACCCCAGTTCAGCCTCCTACCTTCTACCCTGCCTGCCCCTCATGGTGCCCCACAACCTTATGGAGCCACAGTTTTCTCTGGCTCTATTGAAAGAGCTCTTCAGCGTGAATGTAGTGTGATCAAACACCACCAGAGGCCTTCTAGCAGCAACACAGCTTCAGAGCAATTATCCAATTCAGAGCACTCCTTACAGGGGTACTTTGGTTCTGGCAGTGAGGCGGATGTGTCCTACCACCAGGACCCATCCCTTCAGACCCCAGTGTCCTGCAGCCGTTCTACAGGACCAGATTCTTCTCAAAGTGTCAATGGTGCTCCACAATCCAAAGCAGACTCAGAAACTCAAGCTTATTCATCCGCTTCAGTGCCGAAAGCTAAAGACTGCACTTCTGAACTAGCTCCACACCCTGCTGGGGGTGGAGAGAGTCACAACCAGTCACAGAATTTGACAGGAGGGACACCTGAGCGTTATTCCTCCCCAGGACAGAACCAGAGCTCTGTGATTGCTAATCAGCTCTCAGTCCAACTGCCTAGCCTGATGTCCAGTAGCCTGTCTCATACCTTTATCACCCCCCATACACAATCGCAGCCCCCTGGTTCCACCTCAGACAAACTGTCCTCCCTGTACAAGCCTCTGCCTTCCCTTTCTGGCCAGTCTGGCAATGCATCTGTTAGTCAGACTCTTGTTTACTCCTCCAGTCCAGGGCTGAGCCAGGAGCAGGAGATCCAGTATGGAGCCCAGGTCCAGGAGTTGTGTCAGGGGAATATCTCTGAGAGCTACCCCACGTCCCACTCTCAGGGTGCTCCAAATGTGACTTTTACATCTCAGTCACAGGGGCAAGCTTCGGTGGCTCAGTCTCAGAGTTACACCACAGGACAATCCCTTAACTCCTCTTACTCACCTATATGTGTGCAAAGTTTGCCCACATCAAATTCTGCACAGGACTTCACCTTCATGCAGGCCTCAGTTGGAGGTAAAACACACAACACTCTGTCCCAGCAGCAGACACAGCCCCATAAATACATTTTGGCTACAACTTTGCCTACTTATGCTTTAGCTGCTCAAACCTTACAAAATGTCACAACCTCATCAGTACAGGATATTAAGCCAACATATGGCAAACAGAAACTTGAAGAGCTTCCTATCCAGGACCTAGAGGCTCTCCAGCAGGCATCTATGGAGGCCTCTGCAGCAGATAGCAATATGGCTGCTCACAATGTCATCTATGTTGTTTCAAAAATGGATGATAACAAAACACAAAGTGTTATCCGAAGCAATTCACGTTCTGATGACCACCTCATGGGACTAAGTCATACAAACACTGCACAGGTGAAGGATGAAAGGATGGGTTGTCTGAGCCAACAGCACATGCATCTAAACAGTGTCAATGGTCTGGAAACTACCACCACAAAAACCACAAACTCCAGTATTGTGTCTTCGCATGAAGACCTGAGCTCAGAGCGGCTCAAGCAACACCCTCTCCAACTCCAATCCCCTGACCCACATCAACAAAGTCATCAGAATCATAATCAGATGCAGAGCCAGACCCTGGCAGCCCACACCCAATTTGTCACTGTTCCCAGCACTCAGGTTCTCCTCGAGCCTAATCAGATGATTCTGCTCCAGCAGCCCATTGTTCACCATGGACAAAACTCTTCAAAACTCGTATCGGTGCAAGGTATCCAACCAGCCCAAGGTTTGGGCCCTGTTCATGTTCAATATCTTCAGATGGATCAAGAGCTGCTAGGTCCCACTGTCACTGAGACCCAGAGTCAACAGGGAACAGTAGTGTCTGAACAGAGCTCAGGATGCCATGATTCCTCTAAACACCACTATAGTCAGTCAGCAGATCCGCTGCCAACTGATGCCAAGAACCACTTTGCTCTCAACTCAATTTGCTTCCCCGATTCGATGCTACTTGCGGATGATAGAAATATTTTGTCAAACGTCGATGACATTCTGGCTGCCACTGTTGCAGCCTGTGGCGTCACACCGCAAGACTTTGTCAAAGCTACATCCTCTTCTGAGGCTGAAATGGCAGTGATGGCAAGCCCTGTGGATTCTAAGGGTCACTTCCACTCTGTGGATATAAGGCACATGTCACCTAGTTTCTCATCAGCACAGCAGCCAATCATTACCAACACTAACTCCCACACCATGACGCTAAATGGAGCCCAGATGGCCACAGACTGTCAGGATCAGTCTGTTCACCAGTGCAACAGTTCTGAGCTTGACACAAATGGAGATGGAGGGAGCTCTGAAAGTGATCATCATATAGCTGGACAGATGTATGACCCCTCAGGTCTCCAGAGCAGTGTCAAAGGGAATGCAAAATGTATTAAAACAGAAGATTGCCTTATGGAGTGCTCGGGCAGTGATGACTATTCCAAAAAGAAGGCTCGCTCCAAACCAGGGGTTCCTGAGGAGGACAGTGGGCAGACCAGAGCAGCCAAACGCAGTGGGCAGGCAAAGCGGCAGAACTCCAGGGGAAGTGACGTCGGCTCACCATCTGCCTCACAAAGTGTATATGATGGAAGTCCACAGCAGGAGAGAATCAGGCAGAAGATCCGTGAAGTAGAAGAGAAACAGCCAGAGATCAAAACTGGCTTCATTGGCTCTTTCCTGGATTTCATCAAATCTGGCCCCAAGCAGCAGTACACTCCAAGTCCAACACGAACTATCAGTCGCCCCAGAAAGCCCTGCATCTCATCCAAGCCGCTGCCATGTACTTTGCCAATGTTGCCTTCCAAACTGCAGACCCTGCCAGGGTCCTTGATTTCCCAGGACAGTCAAGGAGCAAATTCTCAACAGAAACGTATGGATGAAGATCTACAAAAGAATTTGGAGACCCTGCCATCGTTCAGCTCAGATGAAGAGGAGAACACTGGAAAGAACCAGGCCCTGAGGAACAGTATCAGCTCAGCTCTGTCGGCCCTGGATGAGTCTTCAGATCGGAAAACGAGGACAGGTAATCACACTCTGCCTACGTTTGTCAAGAGATGTCTACATGTTACTGGAGCATCAGCCTGCAATTGTGAAACACTGCATGTTTTCTAAACTCAAGCAGTCATACAAGAACTCGATCTAAAAGTAGCAACAGTTTGAACCACAAATAATACTGTTGTGTGTTAGTTTTAATAATATGCTGTGGTATGTGCTGTCTGTGAACTTGAATAGTTTTTTCTTCTTGATGAATGTTGTCTGAAATATCTTGATTTCTTATACATACTCTGCATACATTCATATATCGGCAACCCTTCCCCAGATAACCAAGTCCCTGGTTCAGTGAGGAAGCCAGACCAAGTTCCCACCATGCCACACATCATCACTGAGACCTGTTTGCCACAGGTAACCACTCCTACACCGTCAACAAACACTGTCTCAGGAGGGATTGCGATCGTGGCCACAGAGGAGTCCACAGCTACCCTACCAGGCCAGTTGGCCGTGCACTTGATGAGTGTGGCCATTGAGGGACTGACTGACGAGGAACTGTCGGACAGTGGAGGAGAGGGAATGTACCGGGAGCGAGACGAGTTCGTTGTCAGGAATGAGGATATCGAAAACTTGAAGGTACAGTTGTGAAAAATGTTGACAGAAAATGAATGCTTGTTACTATGGATTTTGGTGTTCGGCAGACTTCAGCTTGTTGAATGTGGCATGTCAAAACTAAACTGTATTGCTTTTTGGTGGTGGAATTGATCTTTATCTTAAGATATTTGAACATGCAGTTTATTAAAACCAAGAACAAACCTGCTCTTCCAATTTTTGCTGTAAAACCTAAGGTACTCAGCCCAAAAATATGAAAAGACACATCAGATCTTGTGTACTCTTATAATTGAACATTCACTGAGTATTTATTTTATAACGCAGCACTATAATGTGTCATGTGCATATGTCCAGGTGACTATGAGAGCAGGGAGTGAACCTCCAGCCATCTGGAAAGTCCAGAAGGCTTTGCTGCAGAAATTTGTGCCTGAGCTGAGAGATGGAAAGAGAGTCTTCTCAGCCACCAACAGTGTAAGTAAAAGCAAACAGACCAATACACATGTATGCTAGAATAAATATTTGTTGTACAACCAGTAATGTTTCTCTTTGTAGTATCTTGGATACTTTGGTGATGCCAGAACCATGTACCAGAGGGTATATGTGAAGTTCTTGGACACGGTTAACAAAAGGGAGTATGTACGAGTTTGTAGTCGTAAGCCACGTTGCAAGCCTATGAACTCGCTAAGGTATGTTAAGAGTATTGGCTTGAAGTAGCTGAACTATTTGGTAAACACTGTTCCTCAGTTGGGTTCCTCTCTTGGTTCTGCTACCCAGGGGTCTTCAGGTGAAAACTTTGCTTGGCTTGACAGCCACCAATTCTTCAGTCCCCCAGAGCCAAAAGTCCCGACCCAAACAACTCAAACCAAGGGCTGAGCCCCCACCTAAGAAGAGGAGGAAATGGAAGGAGGAGTTTTCACACGCTGCCTCAGGATCATCTGCAGAAGAAGGTGGTGAAGATGATACTGATTTGACCTGTCTCATTAAGTCTAGTTTGGCTATGCAGTAGGTTGACGTGGTCTGAATCTGTTCCCACTGTCTCTCTTGATATCTTCTGGATCTTTGATCTCACACACACAAACACACGCTCTTAGAGTTAAAATCTCCAGCACCGTTTGCTTCACGGTTCCTCAACACACGAACCATGAAGGACACATTCAAGAGCTTTGTGGAACTGCTCATCAGCATTGCCTTAGATGAAGATGTGATGAGCGCACCCGAGAGGGCAAACGGTGAGGGAATTTACTTTTTGAATGTTGAGATGTTCTCAGCTAGAGGGGCCTAAGATTATGTCAAAACTGAAAGGGGAAAAATGTGAAAAGAAGGATCAGGTAGTAGATTTCAGCTACATCTGACTTGTTTTATTTCAGATGAGTTCCTGCTGCCACATATGAAACGAGTGGATGGGATGATCACCGACAACAGAAAACGCCTACTTCACAAGCTGCATATAGGTCAGGTCCTTAAGGTAGGTGTGTCTGTGAAAATGCATATTAATAAGTCATTGTGAAATATCTGTAAAAGGGAGTGGCAGTAGAGTGACAGGAGGCGAGAAAGAGCCACAAAACCCTTAACAGATACTCTGCTTCAGTCACATTTCCCACCTCTGTGGCTCCTTCGTTCATTTATTTTGTGGATGCAATTAAAGTATAAACAAGTGTTTATTCTTTGATTACGAAAGAGGCCAAATTGTAAGTAGATACAATTTTGCTGCTGCACCACATTTTTATTTGGTTTTATTATTTCCATTGTACACAAAAAGGATTGAAAGACAAGCTGACAACATCAAATCAGGATCTATTTTAATGACAAAGCACAGGATTTTCATCGATCGATTTTGTATGAACTTAAGAAATCCTCCTATTGTGCGTCTTCAGACAGCCCTAGACAGCTTCCCAGAGATCTCAGTGGTGACTGAACTGAAGAAGGATGGAGAAACCCCGGCCTTCAAGGTACGTCTCAGTGGGAGGGCCTACAACAGGAAGACCATGAAGCCCTACAAGATGCCTAACAAAGTGCCACAAGTAAGATGAGATAAAGTTTTGGCAAAGGTCTGGTGCTCTTAATATTTGTCCACTAGAGGGCGCAGTGTCACCACTTGTGCTTCTACATTTCCTCATCCTGTTGATCACTGAAGCCACTGTCCCACTTTGAATAAAATTTAAATTTAAGATGCCCTTGAAAAGTATTTTAAAACTTTGATATTTTCCCCTTTTTAGGAGTACACAGTGGACCAGCAGAAAACTCAATGGTTCTCTCTGTACCATTCTTTGCAACATTACAAGTACCACACGTACCTCATGTGTAAGGACGAGGTGAGATGTCATCTTACACAAATGCACACTCTTCAATAATGTGTTACAGCTTTTACTCTAGATATTTATTATTCTGAGACAATTCTATTGTATTAAGCTTGCGTAATTTAATAACGGTAAATGCTCCTGTTTGTGGCTCTGCCCTCCAGATTGCATCTCTGGGGGTGCAGGCAGGGGAACTGGGGCAGGAGGAGACTGTACAGAAGTGTCTGCAGAACAGAGCTTGGGTAGAGGGGCTCTTCGATCGCTTTGGAGACCTAATCAGTCAGGTGCAGCAGGCCTGCCGATGATCCATCCATGACAGGGTTGGTTTAAACACAAAGAAAAAGCGAGTCTAACACTTAAAAAAGCCTCCAGCTCCAAATGGCAGCAGAGAAGGATGAGGTGCATCTCTCCTTCCAGCCACAGAGAGATTTGATTCAGGGACCTGTCAGCTGACTTGCCTGAAAGACATTTGGCAGAACAGTGGCAGCAGGTCAGCAGTGGGACAGCAGTAAGTGTATAGCCTACATCACCACATCCCTGCAGAAAGCAGTAACTTGATTAACAAAAGACACAGGCGTTTGTTTTTGGAAGCATTTTGCAAGACTTCCACATAGTGCTTCTTTTGGTCTTTGTAGTTTTTTTTTTTTTCTTTTTGTAGCTACAAGCCCACTTTTTAGGGGCCTTTTCATAGATTTATATGATTTGTTTTATTGTTGTTTTTAGTTAAATAACCACCTAACCAATAAGTATGCACTAGATAGAAAGCAATCTGCTTAGGAACTAGGGCACAGCAAATAAAGAAGCTGAAATCTGATTGCCTACAGTTATAAGAAGCCTTTGTCAATCATTTAATAAGTAGGTTCACATGCAGAGTTGATTATTGTAAAAAAACAAAAAAAAACTATATATTATATATAACCGTAGTTATATACAGTTTGTAAAACATCCATTTTGTAATGGAGCGCCAACTTATATATAATGTACATTCTGTAAAAAGGAACAAGGAGGTGGGAACTGCACCAATTCTCTTTAGGAGGGACTTAGTATATACTGTATCTACATTGTGGTTTACCTTTTGTGCTTCAAACACCCCTTTGTTTATGATGAGAGACTGCTTTTTATGAATTTTGTTAAAGCAGATATCTGAGAGTAAACTGAAATAAAACTTGTCTTTATACTCCTTTACAGACATAAGCCACATTTTATGACAAATAGATATCTATTTTTCACAGAAGTAAATATTATGTTCACGTGCTCATCACAGTTTCTAAGACACTTTTTCATTGTTGTTTTCACAGTTTTCCTAAATGGACTCTTTACAAGTCAGTTACCAGTTTTATGCTATCAGGAACAATCTTGCTCTTTAAAGATGCAGTTTGTAAATAAAGTGCTGCATGTGTTGGATCTGTTTTGCTATGTTTTGTTTGAGGTATTAACATTTTTCTTAGTATTGTTTTTTCTGCTGATCTCATGAGATTTTGTGCTATGGCACATTAATGCTAAATTCTTGTAAAATGCACCTTTCCTTCTGAATCAGTGAGTTAATGTTTGCTTTTCAGGAGTAGTAGCACCACAGTTTTTATCAGAAATAGAGCATTTGTTTCTTAATAAAATGACATGGTGGTTCCCAGAATCATAAAGTAAAAATACAAGATCATATGACCCCGGTCCATGGTAGTTAAATGACAGCCTCACAATTCAAGGAACAAAACTGTGGTTGTGCCACAGTCTCCAGCAATATTTAACTAGAGTGTTCTGAGAACACGCGCATCTAAATACTAATAGGTGCCTCCATAAGTACTTTTACTGCACCAGGAGGAGTTGGATTTTAGAGCATGCGTGTGTGGCAAATTTAGGTACAAATGATTCACTTTGTCACACAGTAATTTTTTAAAATATCTTTGGAGGTGTCAAGAGGCACCTTCGGTGACAGTATGTTAGCCTTAAGACGAGCAGGTGAGAGTGAGATTATCATCATTAGACATTTTGTCATTGTCTCTGCATCAACAGTGAGATCTGACATCCTGGGAAACTCCAGTCAGTACTTTCCTGGTTTGACTCCAATATTTTTACTTTACAGTCCAAAATACTAGCAGATGTAGAAAAATTGTATGCCCTCCACAGCTCAGCTCAGAGAGGTCACTTAGTGTTAAACTTTACCTGCTGTTGGCGTGTGCCGTTAAATGGCTCATATCCCTCAGGGGGATGATACAACAAGGCAAGAAGCTTGTGCTGCTCGCCCGCCATGCCCTCATGATTAAACTATTTGCTGTGAATGGGTGGTTGACTTTGTGTCATCTGAAAGGCTCTTGGGGCTGTTGAATAAAATATGATTGTCCAAGCACGATGCAAAATTACCCCCCCAAAAAAAGAAAAACAAAAGTGTCTCTATGCTGCAGCAACAGTTCTATGAGGAAAGCCTCTGTCCCTTGGAGTGGGAGAGGAACAGGGGCAGGGGATGGCCAGTCAGGCAAGTGTTTGGGATTCCAGTACAGGCACAACTGGAAGAGACGTGCTGACTGTCTGCTCTGCAGATGAGAAGCATATGAATTTTAATGTGCTGCATTGTTCCATATGTGGGAGACAGACTGAGAGGACCCTTGAGGCAGCGTGAGACTGTGATTCAGTAACTGGGTTGGAAAAGACTGCAAAACATTGAGAACCTATCGGTTGTGGACATGCCTTGTGGTCAGCTCTAATATAATGTGTGAAGATTGTGGCTATAAAGGCATTTGTCAGTCATGTAAACCCCTCCAGGGTGCAAAAATCTGAGGAATGCAGAGTTACAGATTTATACCCAATCTGAGCTGCACAGACAAACCTGACATGTTCCAGTGATGAATGAACATCTGCATCTGTGAGAAACTAAGTACATTTACTCAAGAACTACTCGAGTACAGTTTCCATGTAGGCTACTGTATCTGTACTTCAGTTTTTTTGTTTGGTCATGGGCTCCTCTGCCACAGTTGAGGACACAATCTGTAACACTGAAACAAGGATTTGAAAGGTTGAAAATAAATTTTGAGTCTGTAAAAACTGAAAATTAGGGTTTGAATATTTGAAAACAAGATTTTAAAGTTTTTCAAAACATTGCTTAATTAGTTTGCATATTACAAATAAGTGTTTTCAAAGTTCTGAAACTTGTTTTGCAGACACTTCTTTTGGAGATTCAATACTCCAGTTTCAAATCTGCTCTTTCTGAACTTGCTTTAACGGGGAACTAATAAAAAAAAATGTGTGCGCTGAAAATATGGTTTTAAAACTAAAATCTAGGACTCAACACTTGAAAATAAAATGTAAATGTATGAAAATACTGCTTATCTGCTATTTTGAATGTTACAAATATGTGTCTTCAGAGTTTTGAAACTTGCTTTACAACCATTTGACACCATCCTCGCTGAGATTCAACTAATCTTTCTCACAGATTCAGCTTTGTCTTTTCAGTTTCAGATCGGCTCGTCCTTTCCAGTCTCAATGTTACAGATTGTGGCCTCAGATTTACTTATAAGGGTTCAGGATAGTACGGGGTGTATAGTAAAACCTCTTGCCGCTGCCCCACCACTGTGCGTTGGTATAGACAAACTAAACACATCAATTACAGGGGTCAGTTTTCTGCAGGATGAATACCTTTAAGTAAAGTTTGCTGCTATTCTGATTTTGCCTAAGTATGATTTTAAATGTATATTTTAACACAGTGCAACTGGTATTTTATGTAAAGATATGGCTTCTTCACCACTGGCATTTGGATCTCACCAACTCCAGTGTTTCATACTGTACCTTGTCATAAAAACACAGTATCCTTAATTTGTTTTTGTTAAGACTCCTTGAGATATTTGCCATTGTCACAGCTGCAAACTACTACATGACTCAAGTTGCATGACTGATAAATATGAAGGGCAAAGAGGAGGAAATGTGCGGAGCCTTCTGGCACAGAGAGACCGACAGGAGAGTCAATATTGCTTTGACCTTCTAAACTAGAATTTCTTATGTTATGCAGAGTGATATCTTTTTTTCTCTTGGTCTTGTTTTCTGATGTACCTGTTTCACTTTACAACAGTGAGGTCAGCTTTGTGACAGGTTTACAAAACACAAACACACCAGACTGCAGTGCATTCATTTGAAGAGTTGTAAAACCAGTTTTGTCTTCAACCAAAGGCTTCTCACTCTGCCTAGAGGCACTTACCTTTCATTTAAAGGCAAGGTGTGGATTTTCTTTGTTACAAGTGGAAATGAAAGCTGTAGAAATATAAAAACACATGTACAGCAACAGGAAAGGTGAGTTTTTCTATTAATACCTTAACTCTACAACGATGAAGGCAGTGGGTTCCCAGGTAGTAACTAACTGAGGACAGGATTCTTAAGTTTGACTTTTTAACATCATGTTTTATTAAACTTGTTTTTCATTTTTGAAGAGGTAAAAGAGGTTTTATTGAGCTCCTAATTGTCATTAAAGTCGTGAAGGTTTTATATGTGTTGATGGTTTTGGAAGATTTCATTTAATTATATGCCTCTGTGTTTAGTCCTCCAGTTAAAGGTTTCTGATTATTACCCTATATCTTTTTCTTAATTATTATTTTTGGTTGGCATTGTATATCTTTGTTAGACTGTGCTAAGGAGAGAAACAACAAACATGGATGCTGTCATCCTTAACATGCAGGTGTCTCTGCTTTGCATTTGTGAATGGGCACTCCAGAAATTATTACTGCGCTTCCATAAAACTGGCGGACTAACGTGAAACCGATGTAGGACCGGCTGATATTTCCTAACGTAATGTGAGTGGGGGTCGGTTGTGGTGTAGGAGGTTGAAACTGAACCCCCAGTTTCTCCCTGGTAAGAAAAGGAAATAGTTTCCCATAAACAAGTTGCTTTAAAATAATAGATATAGCGCTCCAGGCGGCTCTTTACCTCTTCCTTTTGCGCACACATTCTCTTTACCTGGTGCTAAAGAGCATTTTCCTGACAGTCATCAAACCGGTTTGCCCCAGTTGCGTGTCTCATCTGTTGCACTAGTATCTCACGATGATAACAGCTGTTTTCCTTTCCAACTAAGTGACCGACTTTGGATTTACAGTGCCATTTTACGACTTTGCCGTCGTCAGTTGACACCCCAGGGAGATTAGAGCCCGAGTTCATGAAGTCGGTCTCAACACCTCATTTGCACCATCGTTTATGATAACAGTATTGATTAGGTTCAGACAGACAAGATACATCGGTGTCACTTTTGGCATCTTTTGGCACCTGCAATTACACATGCTACTGTATGTCACAATTGTGCTCCCATAGCCATATCTGGTTTCCGCTGTTGCATGTTGTAGGTCTGTACCAGACCTGATTTACCTCCTGTGTAGGTTTTAAGGGTGTGACTTAGTAAGTGAAAGGTCGAGTAAAAATATTTCCTTTAAACTGGAAATCTTTACTACAAATGTTTCCAAAGACCTCAGGTGGGCATCTTTGGAACACATTGCCTACAGCCTACTTGTGTTCAAAATGCACTAAATAATTTAGACTACCTGTGAAGTAACATTTTAAGCCCTTCAGTTTCAGTTCTGGAAGATGTGACCAAATGTTATGAGAAGTGAGATAACGCGTCTTTTGTTGAACCAAACAGCGGGGTCCTCGGTACCACTTTAATTCCCGGGCAAGGCGGTGACTGGGGCATGAATACGGTGTTAGTGGGAGGAGGCGGTTTCGGGGTTGACTGTAGCGTGCTGCGTGCGTCATGTTGTGAATTGAAGACCCAGGACCTGGACTGTATGGCTCCCTTCAGTCACTGGATGAGCTTTTCATGCACCGAGCCCCCGGTAACACCAATTTAATCACTGATTTAGTTGATAAACATAGATGTTATTTCTTGAATGGGGTGTTTACTGTACTTTCTGTAACCTGATGATGAGATGATGTGTGGCATACTACTAATCTGAATTTGACTGAGACTATTGGCCATTTAATGTGTAATTTGGTATAATTATTTTTATTTAAAATGTGCATGTTGTTTCTAATCGAAGCCCACTGTTTCTGAAATCTATGTATAATATCACTTTTGTAATTTAAGCATAACCTCTTCCTAAGCGCGCTGTAGGCAAACATTTAGACACTAGGCAATGGGAAAACGATGAAGCCCGCTTTCCAAAGTGGGTTTAAGGTGTACTAAAGTTCAGTAGCCTATCATTTAATGTTTGTAGATAAAACAACATTTGAGTTTTTGGACATTTACTGTGCTTCTCAGCAGGCTGTAGTGCACAGTGGGGTGTTTGTGATCAAACACGGGCACAGGAGGGTAGCTACCTGTGTATGTACGTATGTGTGCGTATCGGCCGCCATACATGAGGGTTCAAATTCATACGGGCCAATAGCCCACCGAGGTTCAGCGTGCGTCCCAAGGCTTGATCTCACCAGTCTCAGCATGTTGGAGGAATGAAGGCTGTTAACAACCTGCTGCTATTGGTCTGATGCCTGCTCAAGGGGGATTTGTTGGGTTTCTCCTCTATAATAATAATGGTAAGGTCTAGACCTTACCTTGTAAAATGTCTTGAGACGTTTTTTGTTGTGATTTGGCGTTATTCAAATAAAATAGAATTGAACTGAAGTCTTTAGTACCGTACGTGTTGGTGGTTATGGCAACACCTTTGCTGCCGCGGTGAGAATACAGCCCAGGTTTGTGTAATTGTGTCAACCAACTTGTTCACATGGAGAAGGTCTCCGTGTGGTGACTGCCCTGCTCCCTCTGCGATTATTTATCTCCGTTTATGTGTGCAAACACACGGCGCACTGTTGTCCTTGGTTAAAACGCACTTACATCATGGCACAGTCTATGTGCTGGGTTTTTATAGAGAGGACCAAAGTCACAAGGAAGGAGACTGGAGTCAGCTGTGCACTATGCCCTCGATGTCAGCCTGGCACAAGCGAGAAGAGGTGACAGAGCACCGCCGGGTTCCCAGGATTGTTTTGACCCCCACTTTTCCCCCTTTAATGGATATTAATTGATCCGGATTTATTGTGAGACTGCTAATCCAGAGACCCCTGATAAGAATCTCCATATGGTCCTGCCTCCTAACTCCTAAACCAAGGATTTCATTCTGCTAATGCAGTTCTTTTCTATTAATTGTCCTGACCAGAAAGTAAACGTGATATTTAGCATTTTATAGTGAATTTGTAAGGACTGATATTTACACAATCTGGACTTTTTCTCACATTTATCTTACAGGTACATTTTCACATTTAACTGTCAAAGTAATAGAAGAAATATTCAAATTTGTTGCATCATCAGCTTGTTATATATCTCATGATTCATGCATGCATATATAGATGTCTGCAACGTGTTCTTCCTTAAACAGCTGCTGCAGCCTCCGTTCTTCTCAGTTTCATCTTTTCCAGAGGGAGACAGTTTGACGTACATGTATCTCATTAATCACCAAATCACAGATATATCTACCACACACACCTTCCTCTGTTATCAATGAGCTGTTGTATTGTTGAAATGAGTGGGTGAACAGCTGCTTGCTGCAGTACTGTTCCCTAGTTTTTTGTTGTCAGGTTTTACAGATGGGTCTTTATTTTTCATGTTGTGTTATCATAGCGTGGAGCCCAACTGCTGCTGTCCCTGATTTATGACCTCTCTTGGATCCTCCCTTAACGTGTACTCACCAGGCTTTAAACTTTTTTTTGTTGTGAGATGAAAGCCATAGTACAATCCCATTAAAGCTTTGCTTAGCTTTTTTGGTCTGTCTTACATGGCTGACACAAGTCATTTTCATTTAACAACAAAGACTTAGTGTGTCAAATACAGGTGGGCAGAGGAGATATATTTAGAAACTACATGATTTATTGTTAGACGTCAGCTGATTCTGGTGTATGTGTTAGTAGCAGTACAGCCATCACCTGTAAAACAGGAACATGTCAGGATATGTGCTGTGAGAAAAGGCAGTCACTATGATCATTGTGTCTGTGTTCATGTGTCACATGAATAGTAGAATGCAGAAAGACTGCATGTGGGTGTCTGCTGTTGTTCATTTCTTTATCTTATATTGTTTGATTACAGAATTTGATTCTTTATCCTCTGTTATGTGAAGTGAAATGAAGCTTTTGGACACACTGTACACCAGCACTCCTCAAAACAGGATCTGGGTTTGGTTTCTAGCCCAGTGGGACGCACTGGTCCTGGAACTTGAGCTCTTACACCCACATACAATGATTTCAGATTCTGTGCATGTGACATTACACAGAGGATAGGGAGGGTGTGTTTGATAAAGATAGAAACTGCATTTCCCATTAGTTTCTGAGAAAGTGCGCAGACAACAGACAAAAGCTGAGAATGTCAGCTGTGGAATAATAAGTGGGTCACCAACAAGACCAGAATTTGCATATTTTAATAACATTTACATGTATGTTTGTTTTCATCTTGATTTTTCTAAATGAATTACACAGTTCATTATCTCTTTAATTGAAGAATGGCTTAGTCTATAAAATGTCACCAACTTTTTACAACAGTAAACAACACAGAAAAGCAGCAAATGCTCACAAGTGAGGACCTTTCAAATGTTTGGCATTTGTCCATCTGTGTGTAAAACTACTGCCATTACTCAGCTGGTTGAAATCTGTGGCAAGGGCAGGTTTACAGTACATACATAGCACATTTTCATACACAACAACAAAGTGCTTAACACATTGCACACAAATAGATAATACATTACAATGCATATACCGTATATATGAAACATTAGAATGCAAATTAGACTAAAACAAATGCAAATTAAAATCAACAATTACATGACAGCATAAAGTAACAACATGCAAGTATAGAAACCTAGCACATTTAGTGTAGCTGTGGCAGAGTGCGGATTCTCACTGTTCTCATTATACTCTATGTTGTACCCCTTTATCCAAGGTGCACATACTTTCTTTTTTGAAACATCACAGCACAATGAAATCAGTTGCTCATTGGGTAATGGAAGAAAAATAAAGGAATATAAAGTGTAAATTTGGATGGAATTGAGATATATTAAAGTAGAAAAAAGAACAGTCTTTAGTTTTAAAAGTGACTACAGTTGGGTCAGATCAAGATTCTAATGGGAGCTGGTTCCAGCTGTGTGCAGCATAATGGCTAAAAGCACTTTCACCTTGTTTAGTCTGAACTCTGGGCACCACTCGCTGACCAATCCCTGCAGATCTGAGACACTTACCAGTATTATACTTGTACTGCACAGCAATTAAAATGCAAAGCTCAAACCCTACTTTTCCTGGGTGATTTTAAGAGTTGATTACCTGTAATTCAGCCCTAATTTCTCTGCCTCTGATTGTCTTTCCCCCTCTTTCCCCTTTCACATTCACTGATTTCCTCCTCACCTCCTCCATCAGAGCAAGGCATGGCTGGTAAGACTTTCCGAGGCACGTATAGGACCAGCATCATATCCAATCTCCACACTCACGTGGAGGTCAAGCGGCGGCGTCACAACCTAAAATCCTACCATGACTGCTTCCTGGGCTCAGAGGCTGTGGACGTGGTGTTGGCGTATATCACCCTGAACCGTTTCTTTGGTGATGAGGCAGTGCCCCGCTACAAGGCCGTCCGTCTTTGTCAGGCCCTGATGGACTCAAGGGTGTTTGAGCCAGTGGGCATTAAAAAATTTGGGAAAGAAAAGAAGCAAGCCACATTTGAGGATAGTAGTTGCAGTTTATACAGGTTCCTGACCCCAACAACTAGTTCCTCATCGTCGCTGACCAACACCCAGTCTCACTCCACTAGTACCATAGAAAGTGGCTATGATTCACCAAGCATGAACAGGAACAAGGACAGCTATAGTCCATCACATGAAAGGTTTGTACTCATGTTAGAACATCTCTAGATCTCATTTTTAATTTGCTCTGTTCTCCGTCCTCCACCAGAGCAACCAGAGCTAATCTCCAGTCCAGTGTGGCTTTACAGTGAGTGCCTCTGATAACTAGTGAGGCATTTCAAGAGACTTTTGAAGTCCCATCATTTGGTTGTGTCCTGATACCAGTAATGCCTCTATTACCAGTGTATGTCAATCCGTTTTAATGTCACTACTAACTTGCATTGCAAAATGAAAATGTAATATAATAAGACAGATGTGACACAGAGGAATCTACTGAGGTACTTGCTCCAAAACGTTTTATTCACTTTCTTGCTGAGAGTTAAATAAGGAATATGAAGCTATCACCAGCACTGGTGGTGTTTGCACTTTTAAAGCGCAAAGTTACACAGTTATAGTTCTGGTTGTAGCTTCATATTTACCGTTCACACATGACATCAGTTCAACTTCGTATCTAACTCTAAGGAAGAAAGTGAATAACTTTAAATCTCTTCCACTTTGAGGCTGGAGTATTAAATCTTAGGGAGGCCGTTGAGCATGTACGCACGCAGGATACTTCAAACAAGAAGTGTAAACACATGGCCTCGGCACTTGTGTTTACTCCTTTTTGATGTGATGTTGTTGTTGTGAGATTGGCAGCGCCAGACTGGACCAGAGAACAGGCCTGATGTCCCTAATGAGAGATGAAAGACTCAGAGCAACCAAACACTTTAAATAAGACTTTAATTATTTGCAGCAGGATCAAAGTCAGGTCTTCATTGGGATAATACAATGTAAACGGAGAAGAAAAACTTCTTGTCTTGTATAATGTTCATCATAAAAGGTTTAATTCTGTAAATCTGGCATTCATTTTGTCAGTTTGGCAGAAAATTACCATAATCAAAACTGCAGCAAAGTGTTACTACAAAACTACTACAAAACATTTGCAGTCTCAGGCCACATTTGTTCCTGTAATGTCTTTTTTCAATAATTTCCATTGATTGCTGTTATTATGTGACTCTTCAGACAAGAGGTGATGAGCTACTCCACCCACTCCCCTGCAAAAAGACACGCATTACTGGAGGACGTGCTGACAAACCTCAACCTCAGCTTGACCATCACCCCTCAGATGACCAACCTTGGCCTCTCACCAGCGCGTATGTCTCTTCTATCAGTTGAAACAAAGGCTGCAATACAACCTTCATGTTTTCATGCAGCAAATGCATGGTCACACTATGTGTTTGCGCACGTGCGCCTATGACTCTTATTGCTTTTAACTCTTGTTTTCACAGTTGTGGATGAGGTGTGGCACCAGCAGGCAGTGTTCAGGCTGTTGCAGCTAATAGAGCTCCCCCTAGTGGAGGACTTATTAGAGTCCAAGGACAGATCTCGGCCTCCCCTGCATGGCATGGACAGTGACCCGGATCTGTTGTATACATCAAGCTATCTAGACCGAGAGGTCCTAAAGGCCTTCAGTGAAGCACAGTAAGTCCTCTAAAGTTGATTTCACATCCAGTCTCTCCACTGTATATTACTGAAGTCTGTATCACTGATGTACTTTTTATCTTTGTCTCCCTGTCACTTCATATTGTTGAGTGCTGACTTGTGTTTTAACATCATCATGCTCCCCTCTCTCTCAGGGCTGATGAGTGGCTGTCAGCGGCAGTGGATTGTCTAGACTTTCTGACTGATGAGCTGGTGGTGGAGGTCAGTCGAGGTTTGGTTAGTTATGCCGACGACCTGCCCCGGTGTAAGAAGCTGCTCTATGAGGTCCTGGCTCAGCATTACGGACACACACAACAGCCACCGCTGCTCAACAACCATGTTTTCGACATCCACTCTGGCATTTCAGAGCTACTGGGTAAGAGGAGAAGCTTTTTGGTATCCTGTTGTCTTCAGGATGGTTAATGGGGCTTTTGTGGTGCAGGTTTCATATACGTTATCATATGTTTCTCCCCATGGCATTTTAATCACTAGGGCTACTTTTTTCGAGCTCATCATTTTAATCCTTGTATGTTTTGCTGATCTGCTGTTAGTGAATGGAAAACTAGAGCAGGCTCTGGAGGCTCTGCAGCTGAGCCTGAAGCTGCAGGACTCTCGCAGCAGGGAGGAGCTACGCAGGCTCCTGAACTTCATGGCCATTGCAGCCAAATCACAGGAGGTCAGACTGCACAAAGAGGTGAGTGCTTGTGTGAGTCTTGCTTACATCTGGACATATGTACATTTCACCTTTGTTAACTCAAGATAATTCTGTGCCAGATTGAGAACAGAATGGCACTGAAAAGGTCTTTCTCAAGTGCTATCGTGTACAGCAGAAGACTCTCCAAAGGAAAGGTGGACTTGATGGTTTTGTTCATGATGGATAACCACAATGATCTGTTCAAAGTGAGTGCTCCTATGCTGTCTCCTCCCCAACGTGTGTCTGTGTTTCCAGTGTTGCAGGAGGGATGTAAGAATTAAGATAGCCACAAACTAAGTAAACATAATGATTCTGCTCTGTATTCATTCAATCACCTTAATCTTGGATCTTTAAGTTCAGATAAAGAGAAATTTCATTTTCTTTTTTTGCTCTGTTTTCCACCAGATTCCTCTTTCACTGCACAATATGGTCAGTGACAGAATAATGAATATTGTCAAAGGGAAGGATCCAGATATGATAACAGGTTTGCACATTTTTATTTGTCTTCTACATTCAGTTGTTGTTTGCATGGCCATTGGTAGAAATCCGTAGCCAGACTTCCCTACAACACTTTAGCTTCTCCACCTCTCTTTATTTCAGGTTCAACATACTGCACAAGAGTTAGTCCTAAGGCCTATTCAGAAAATGCAGAAAAAACCACTAAAGAGGAACTGTGGTCGTTACTCCGGACAGTCCATGAGAATCCTAAGCTCTCCACCAAAGAAAAGCGACGGCTGTTGGGACAGTTTTATAAAGGCCACCCAGAAATTTTTGTTCAGTACTTTGGAAATCGATTGTCCAGTGTCAACATGTTGCTACAGTAATATTTATTACTTTAAAATAATGTATTATAATGTAAAAAGACATAGATGTAAGAACAAAGGCTGATTTGATGTAAATAATGTGAAGATGTGCAGTATAGTAAGTGGGTTTAATTTACTTTTATGTAAATAGATTAGGCTACTGAACAAGAATGTGAATTTTATAGTACTGGCTCTTAAGAACCTGTGATATTTAAGGTAGTTGTCTTAAATATTTTCTTTGATAACACTAACATGAAATGTCTTTGTCATGAGACCAAATGAACCAAGTGTTCTTGCATTCTATGTCAGCAGACAGTAAAGATGAGTCTGCAAATCAGTAGATGTATTCTTTGTACTTACAAATGTGTCTGTTCGTGTGGTTTCTCATACATGATGTGATGCACAACAGAGCTATACCTGAGGAACCTTAAAACAGAAATGTGGACACTTGAAAGTCTGATGTCGTACTGTAGTAAACAGCCAGAGGTATTCATGAGAATCAGCCCTATGAGTATTTGTGTTTGTTGCTATAGATCAGCAAAACAGATTATTGTAAATTCTTTTTATTTTTACTGAAAACGTAGCCATATTCTGGTGGTATTTTCAAGGTTGTTTCAAATAAAGCCTGCGGTATTTCATCCTTCTAATCAGCTGAGGAGAATACTTCCACATTTCCGGGTCACAAAATTTTTAAATCACTGTCATTTCCATATTTTGGCAGGTCTTAACCCTATAAAACCATTTGTATCATATTCACTACATGAGTTTCTGAGCAAAAAAAAACAAACACCAAAAATACTCCATGTATCAAATGTAATACAAAAAAATAAAATAAAATAAAATAAAATAATATGGCACATTTATTTCTATATGCCTGGACTGTCTGTTTATGCATAAATGGCAAATAAAAATCCTGAATCTTGAATTTTCTTTTGGATTTTTAAAAGGTTTAATAAATATCTCAGTTTCAAATGTTTCGAATGTTCTGGCTATTTTTTGATGTCTCAGGCTTTACAGGGTTAATAGAATTCAACTGGATTTGTCTTACATTTGTGCAGACAGTAGCCAAGATTGCCATTTTTCATTGTGGACAGTTGTGTACACTGATGAAAAGTGAACTAATTACTGCACTGCATGTAAGAAATGTATGTAAAAATGTGTTTTTCAGTTTTGTGTCAAGGTTGAGACAGATTTCACAGAGCTTTATGCCCATTATATGTAACCACTAGATGAGCTGTGGACTGGGATTTTTCTCTCAAATACAAATACATCACCTCTCTGGGTCATTGAGCGTAGCTTTGATGGCTGTTGTGTGGTAATCGGGTTCTCAGTCCAAAAAAATCAGCTTATTATCCACACACTGTGCTTTTAAAAATAAAAAGTTATTTTGGAAATAATGGATCAAACACCACCAGTTTCTCACTTTCTGCTAGTGTCTACATGAAAACCTTCCAGCCCAGTTTAACCCACACTTGCCTTTCAAAAACTTTTATTATTGTGTGGATGCTAAAAAACAAAATCATTGATAGGTGCTCTTGGTTGGGAGCACTTTTAGGGAAATCAAATAATTCTCTAATGTTTATAATTCAAAAGCTATTCATTACAAACATCCACAAAAGTGAAGACAGCTTTTCTTTATTACAGTCGGTTGTTTTATTTTCTAAGAGCAATTACAAGAATGGTGGAAATTTAAAAGTATCATTCAGATTTTATTGTGTAGCAGAGATAGTCCTCAGTAACTGTTTAATGCCACTGGGTTTACCTGTGAATCAGCTGCCACATATTCAGAACAAAGGCTATGCCTGGAAGACAAATAATGATGTAATCCATACAATGTGAAATCAAGCAGCTGGTATTAAATGTCTTGTTAGCTACTTTCCATGGGGTGAATCGGACTGATCCTTTCAGATCATCAACTGTGTGTTATATGCTGCCACCTAGTGGTGGTGACAAGGCTCGACAGTGCTGTAATGCTAAAGGTGAAATCTTAATAAAAAGTCCAGTCAGTTACAGAGAAAGGCAATCAGGCATAAAACATCAGGTAGAGCACATAAAAAAACTACTGAAAGGAAAAAAATAAAACAAAGTTGGTTGAATTCTTTTCCACTTTTATTGAAAGGGACTGTTTCCTCCAGTTATCTAAAAAAAAAGTCAATTCCACTTTGTCAATATTGAAACATCACAAGGCCAAACTGAACTTTGTGCCAAAATTAATGATGGAATTAAAAAATTTGTACAGTATAATGATCAGTCTTTAAAAATAAAAACTTTTAACAAAACAAAAGCAACGACAACACCCAGGTGTGCATACTGTATATGTGTGTGTGTGTGCGTGTGTGGATGTCTTTACAGAGATGTACAACGGATGTATAATCAGTGAGAATATCGCTCAGAAATATGAACATGTATGTCTAACCCATATGACCACCTGTTAAGATTACATTCTTTTAGGGTTTACTGTGTTTCTTTGTTTAGTTTATCGAATCCTCTTCTGTTGGCGTGCACGGTAAATGTCATGTATGGGCGGAGCCACAGCCCCTTTGTCATCCTCCTCATCCGAGTCAGCATTTGGCCTCTTGAGTGACTTGGCAATAGCATGGTTCTCCATGGATCCGTTGCCCTCCCCTCCTGCATCAGGCTGCCTGCCAGTGATCAACTCTACAGCAGCGTCAACAGCTAGAGACAGAAAAGAATCTGTCAAATAGGGACCAAAACAACACGCCATCAGAAATGCTCTGGAGTCAACTAAAGTGTTGATAGAAGCAACTTACTCTCAGGAAGTGTGCATCTCCTGAACATTTCCATGAGCTCATCCACTTGAACAAATGGGCCCTGCAGTAAAAAAACAACCACTGACTTCTGGTCTTGGCAGGCAAAAAAAATCCTTCTGCTTTTGTTTTGATTCATTACTGCTACTCACAGTGAAACATGTAGGTGGAGGGAGCAGCTTCATTAGGACAACAGCAGCTGGGGGGACTGGGAAAACTCCACCAGGTACAGGGTGTAAACCTGGAGCTGTGGGGGGAACAAGAGGCAACGTCAGAGATGAATCCTTTTATGCACAAAGTCCATGTAGAACAGAGAGCAAGAGAAAGGTGCAGCAACAACATACTTAAAAAATGCACACAACTTCAACACATATAGACTAATAATCCTCTGTTTCACACTGATGTGCCATTAATATTTACTGACTTGAGGAATGACCCTGTGCAGCTAAGGATGACATACGGGCAAGGTGACGTGGCTGGAAGGGGATCATTTGATTGGTGTCAGGTTTCGGATACTCGGGTTTACGATCAGCGTCATCCTTCATTGCAGGCACAGAGGGCGCCACCACAGTCTCCGGGAGCAATGCTGCCAGTTTGGCACGAGAGACATCCTGCAAACACGGTGGAAACAGTTTAAACAGTAGCTCATGTAAACAGAACAGCTTGATCTGTTTAACTGCTTTTACATGCTGTGTCATGTATAAAGGGCAAAACAGCACACACCTTGTATCCAAGGGCCTTGAGTTCACTACTAGAGCAGGGATACAGGTCCATGAACTTGTATCTATCAACAAGCAGAGCTGTTTCTTTACCCTCATACTCATCCTTGAAGGCATTGAAACGCCTGCGCTCTACTTTCAAAATACTGGCCAGGTCTCCTATGTTGCTCTCAAAGGCCAAGAACCGAGCCCAGATCTCGCTGAGGAAGGAAAGAAGGATCAAAGTTAGAACACAGTGAGATACCGAGAAACATTTATGTACACAACTGAATTATTACTTGACATTACCCTGACTTTTCTGGTGACAAGCTCCCTGAGGTGAGGACACGTTCAAACAGAACCCTGGTGTTGTTATCCTCTGGAGAGGAGACGAAAGAGAAAACAATGGGTGTACACATTTACTGTGATAGCAGATGGGGGAGAAATCTTTTATTTTCTAAAAGCTGATACAAAGACATCACTGCTTCCTTAGTATTAAAAATCATAGGTTTGTAGCAGATGTACAGAAATAGCACTGTAAATCAAACTTCTGTTTAATTTATGGATTAACAGTAAAGAAAACAGATTTCCTGCATTCTGTGTATCAGATCTAGTTTTTTTTTTTTTTTTTCCACATATCCTACCATTAAGGTGTGAGAGGTAATCAATGTAGGCCAGTATGTACTCAGGAATGTCACCATATTTCTTCAGACCAAGTTCAAAAATCTTGAAGGCCACTGATTTATCCTGTGGGGGAATAAAAATAAGAGTTTACATAAAGATGTTTGAAAGATTGATTAAAGTTCTAATGTACATATGCTAAGCATGTGTAATGTACCTTGCTGCAGTAGTACTCCATCAGTGCTGCAGTTACATACACATGGTGACGTGTGCGTAGATCCTCTCGGGCCTTTTTGAAGATGGTGCGACCTGATTTGATGCCCTCAGCCCTCCTGGCAAACTTCATGTACTGGATATAGACCAGCGTGGGGTCAATGTCTTCAATAGCCAGTAGTTTATTATAGATGCTATGGACCTTCTCATACTTCATACGACTCTGTGAGGACAGTTAAAGAAACATGCTGAGAAGTCCGTGTCTTTTACTGTCTTGGTTACAGTTGGTCTTGAATAAATAACTGGACACTCACTTCTTCATAGTCTGCAAATGAAAAGTACAGAAGCATGTTCTTTTTCAGAAGAGTCCCGATGGCACGTTCATAGATGTTAGCTGCCTCGTCACTAAACAGCTTGGAGTTATTCATATCCTAAGAGGAAAATAATTACAGTATGTTACAGTCTTGAGGTTGTTTGTCTTTTCTGAAAAATACTCCACAGGTTTATGTCAGTTTCACATAAAATTTTAATCTCTTACTCCTTTCTCTGCCAGCAGTTTGCTGGACTGCTCCAAATACTGTGCTGCCTCATACCATATGTCAGGATGGTGGCCCAGCACCAGCAGGCACTGCTCATAGGCAAACATCACTGCAACACACATAATATGTGGAAAAGAAAAGTCAACCTAGTGCCTCTAACAGATGCTTTCCAACAACAGAAACATCTTCATTCATGATGTGTCTCCACTGACTAGTGTTCAACAATGAAAAACCCTGCAAACCAAGTTTTTAATTATATGCTTTAACACAAAACGCTATACATCCCAACACAAACAGTCACCTCTCTTTGTGATGAGGGTCTGATCTTCTGTGCGTAACGGGTTGCTTTTTTCCCACTGAATGTACTTCTTCCACATTTCCACCTGCTGTGCTTCCTGAGGAGAGTTCTGGGGTGGCACAGATGGTGCATTCCTGTCCAGCCCCTTCATCACAGTCTCATACTCCTGAATTGCACAAACCATGCAACAGTCCGTGTTAGTTCACAAAGACAGGCTGACTTCTCAATATATCGCACAAGGCTGTGCATATTAGTGACACAGTGTCTCACCTTTGCCACTCTCCTGGCATTCATGTAGTCTCTGCTTCGATCCTCAATCATCTTTTTTGCCAAGTGTACATTTATCCCCTGCTCATGAAACAGAGAAGTCATTGTAGCTCCCCATCACTCTACAGTGCAGACACATGGAAGTAGAAAGAAAGGGGCCGCTGCTCTGCTAAGTCATATGATTATTTAAGCCTCATTGCCGTCTTCTCTGAAGCTGCATTTTAGTGTAAACCTGGGTGGTGTGTTCTGTAGAAATCACTTAAACTCCTTAAGAGGTCACCGTTTCTCACATGGTTCAATTGAGTTTTAATTTAATACAGCTCAGTATAAGAACAGGTTTATACAGCTCAGGTCATTTTACTAATTTCTAAGCTGTCAAAGA